TCTGAAGAAGGGTCTAGGCCTGAAACGTCAGCCTTCCTGCTCCTCTGATGCTGCTTGGCCTGCTGTGTTCATCCAGCTCTACACCTTGTTATCTCGGACACGGGGAGAATTTGCGAACTCCACACAGACAGTCGCCTGAGGGTGGAATCGAACCCAGGCGTCTGGCACTGTGAAGCAGCAATTCTAACTACTGAGCCACCATGTCTATGTCTTCTGACTTCAGGGGGAGGGATGTAGTGACTGTCATGAGGTAGGCCAGGTGGACATCATATAATATGTGTTCCCTGATTGGGGCTGCAAATCTGCTCCAACCAGTAAGCCCTTGCTGACAGGTAAGAACAACTCTAAGGGAGCTGGATTAGTGTCAAGGAATCTTCACGTGTAAATAAAAGGTGACTTGAATACTTGATACTGGCCTGTGTGGAGTTATTTCATTCAGTTAAGGGAATAGGTTACCTCACAATAAGGGTTTTAGGTGGGGAAAACTTTCAGACCAGGTGTGTTTGGGTTGAAATCTGCTTTGGTTATTCAAAGCTGAGGAAGTCTAAGATCTCAGGTGTGTTAGTCAAAGAAAAAGGCTTCACGGCTCAGAGTACCAGAACTGAAAGAAGCAGTTAAGTCAACCAACAAATTTCATAGACAAGGAAAATTTTCTCTGGATTGTGATTAACTAACTGTACAATGATGGTGCTGGCAAATAGATGCAATTTTGTTTTGCCAGTTTTTGAAATCTTTTGAACTGTGTGAAATGTGAATGGTTTCGTTTGATTTAGCTTTACCTTTATTTCATAATAAAATCCTGTTTTGTTGTTAAAATAAAGTCTGCAGCCTGGCATGCTTATGTTTCAATGGAAGACCACCAACTTAAATTAAGAAAAGACAAAATACGATTGTATCAAGCTAGATTTCACTCTGATATCGGACTTGTCCAGTACTAATATCAGCTGGAATCGTAACATTGTGGATACTCAGTTGATGAGTATATTCAAGAGGGAGTTAGATGAAATGTTAAGTTAAGAACGGAACTAAGGGCTGAGGGAAGAGTTCAAGTAAATTAGCGCTATGAGTGGCAACAAATGCTCAAATTGCTGAATCTAATCAACCTTACCTTATTCTTTCCTTAGTTATGCTCTTGTTCTTAATGTATTTATAAAGCATTTTTGGGTTTTCCTGGATTTTGCTTATCAATATATTTTCATACCCTCTTTGCTTTCCTAAGTTCCGTTTTATACTTCTCTAGGTTTTCTGCAGTGTGGCACTCTTGATGTATGTTCTCCTGGCTGGCATGCGACTGCTGTGCCACATTAATGTGGTTGACTCTTAACTGCCCTCTGGGAAATTAGGGAAGGGCAATTAGTGTTGGCCTAGCCAGCAATGTCCTCATCCCATATAAGAATAAAAAGTTATTCTCTACCCCCTGAAAACCACTCCACTGTAAACAAATGAAAGCCCATCACCACATTTTCAGGACAGCTATGAATGATTCATAAATGTCAGCGTTACCAGCAAGGATCATATCTCAGTGTCTTGGTATTCTCATTTACTGTGGTGTTTAATAATTATTTGGCTATTTTCACTTCAACAAGCCTTCAGTAAACAAAAGGCCTGCTTAATTTTAGATTGAGTTGTTTAGCTTATTTACTTGTTCAGGGATGCACCTAATAATGTAACAAAGTGTAGTGAAATGTTGGGATGTGATACTATTCTACAAATTTTCAGAAGTTCTTGTCTGTGGTTTGATGGGCTTGTACTGCATTTTCATTTTTGAATTTTTAATTTGTTCAAGAGATGTAGGCATTGCTGACAGGGTCAACGCTTATTACTTATCCCTAATTTCCCAGAGGGAAGTGAAGAGCCAACCATTTTCCTGTGGATCTAGAATCACATGTTGGTCAGTCCAGGAAGGATGGTAGATTTCCTGCCCAAAAGAATCTGATTGAACCAAATGAGTTTTTACGATGATTGACAGTGGATACATAGACACAGATAGACTAGCATATATATTCCAGATTTTTAGTGAATGTACATTTCATCATCTGCCATGGTGGGATTCAAACTATGTCCACCTCCCTAATGGACGTATAGCTCTCACAACAAGTACTTTTTCATGACTGCAATTCCTGTGGGTCTGGGTTTTAATTTTTGTCACTTGTGAGAACTGAGATAGTATTCCACTTCTGATATTTACCACCTACATTGTATGAAGGGAAAAGTAAGTGGGTAGGTTACAGGACCACTTTTTCACATACTCGATATTTGGTTAAAGAACAGGATTGGGAGATATCTCTGATAAGTTGGATGGTAATAGTGCATGTTATAGAGAGAGCTGAAAGTGAGCATGCAAATGTGATGAGAAAATAAGTTAATCTTTGCAAATCTCAAAGTTGTGCACAAACGTCAGATGGGAAAACCGTTTATAACAGTGTTTGTTCTGCCTTGTAGTGGAGTTGCTGGAATACAAGCTACAACAAGAACAGATTGTAACAACTAATTTGCAAAACACCCTGAAAGCAGAACAAGAACGAGTTACCAAGCTCCACCAACAATTACAAACTGAACAAACTTCATTGACTGAGCTGAAGTCGGACCTGTCTGAGGTCTCGGATGAACTGCAGGCTGCATTACAGACACGACATGAGCTACAACAAAACCTGCAGAAGCTCCGGTTTGTAGACCAAGATATTGATTTGTTAGATGTGATATGTTTATTTCATTTCCCCCAGGCATGATAACCTTATTCAGCTATAGCAACATAATACATAAGCTGAAATTTGACTCAAGTTCTGTTATCAGAAACAACTTGATTGCTAATTTTCTAGCAGATAAGACAAGCTGTGCAGGTATGTGTAATATAAATGTGGTTTGCCACTTGGAATCCAGCTCGACAGACAATGAACTGCTGAAAATTTCAGGTACTCGCTTGTTAAATATGTCAATGGAGTTATTGTGCAAATAGCCCAAATCAGTCCAAAACTTTAGCTATGTTTCTCTGCCCAAAAAGAAACTGAAAAGAAAACATCACACAATTTCCCCTTTATTGCTGGTTAATTTCGCAATCGGAAAGAAATCATGCAAATTAATGGTTCACCTAAGGTGGGTGAATGAGGTTCGTTGGTAAAGGTTCAGATACTTAAAAAATATCCCCTATGATCTGAGGACATATTTCTCTGCAGTCCTGGTGTTCCTTCTGAGGCATTGTTGACCTCAAAGGAGCATAAACCTTGCACTTCACAAGTGATAAATGAGATGCGCTTTGTAGTGATTGTAACAAGGTCAGCCAGCTGGACCTCATAGAATATGAATTCCCTGATTGGACCAGATTAACAGCCCCAATCAGGAAGTCCTGGCTGACACATAAAAAGGTTGAGTGTCAAAGATACTAACACTCTGGTGCCTGACTCTGTATGAGGCAGTACTATAGTCAAGAACTGCTCATGTTAAAATAAAAGGTGATTCGGTGATGGGATACCAGCCCGTGTGGAATTATTTCAGTGGTGACGAGTACAGCACAGTCTTGAGGAAACTTGCTCACAACATTCGTCTTTCGGTGGGTGAAATCATTTCTTAAATTGTACTTTTGTTTGGGAAGTTTGACTTGTTCAACCCTGCCGTTGAGGACTGGGCCTGGTATGTAGAAAGAAAGCGTTATTTTTTCCAAACAAATGACATGGTAGCAAAAATGGTGACTAATTCTCCTGACAGAAAAAGCTTCCACTCCATAGGCTGTCATTAGGAGCCTAACTTTCCTGGAGGCCAGATACTATAACCTTTCCAGAATTGACAGACTCAGTTAAGGAATATTATGACCCCAAGCCGCCTCTAATTCTGAGACACCATCGCTTTTACTCAGCAATTCAAGAACCAGGGGAATCTGCATCGGGGTTTTTGACTAGAATAAGATGACTGTCAGGAGCCTATGAGTTTGGTTCAACCCTTAATAAAATGCTTAGAGACTGTCTGGTATGCAGGATTAATGCTATGACAACGCAAAAACATCTAGCTGAAGTCCAGCTGGATTTCTAACAGGCGTTACAACTGGCATTATCATTGGAAAGTGCAGCAGATACAGCATATGAGTTGCAGGATATCCTGATGCAAATGGACAGACTCGACAATCCGACTAAGCTTGGAGAATGCCATTTGAATGCTGGCAACCTACGGAGGGACTGTAGATTGGCCCACAGCAAAGCCCCAAAACAAAGCCAAGCCTCAGCAAAACAATGAAAATTTTCTTCAGGATCCTGGCTGACAAGGCATTGTAGTTGTTGCTGAAATGTGGATGCAAGACAACAAAAAGGTCCTACTAGACATAAGTTGAGTAAAATAGCCAGTATCCAGGAGTTTGTACCCTGGAAAGTCCACCTGCATATAATTTGGAACAGTTGCTCAGCAATATCAAAATCAGAACCAATCAAGATAAACATCGGTTAAATGACCATCTGCTTCTATCAGAGCCTGATGCCAGTGTAGCCATATCAGTGAATGCAGAACCAGTTTTTCATAAAATTTGCTCTGGACTCCAACTCTTAACTTTGCGCAACACCCCAGATAGGCTGAGAACCTATACCAGGGAACCCTTATTGATTAAAGGTACAACTTTGGTTCTGGTGTCTTTTGAAAAGCAGCTGGTTCAATTACCAGTGATTATAGTAAAAGGCTCAGGCTCAAGCTTAATGGGGCAAAATTGGTTGCAAGATATTCACCTAGATTGGTTCAATATTTTTCAATTAGAAAATGGCTACCTGAGTGAAGTCCTAATTAAAAACACGAAAACTTCCAGGAAGGTCTAGGGATTATCAGAAGAGCCAGTGACTTTGCAATGTTGACCAGGAAGCAAGGCTGGCCCTGTGCCATTTGCCTTATGAGCAAAGGTAGAGGCAGAAATCAGAAGGTTGGCATATCAAGAAATCATCAAATCAGTCCAATTCACAGAATGGGCAGCACTGATCGTACTGATTTTGAAGTCTGATAGGTTAGTTTGCCTTTGTGAGGATTTAAGCAAACGGTGTACTGTTTTTTGCAGCTGGATAAATACCTAATCCCTCAGACACAGGATTTATACGCAAAGCTGTAAGGGAGTGCTGTCCTTCATGAAGGCGGACATGATCCATGCTTATTTGCAATTCTGTTTAGAACAAGATTCCCAGAAGCATGCTATAATTAATGCCCTTAAGCGCTTATGCCATTTGGGGTAATGTAAGTCTCTGAAATATTTCAGTGGACGATGGAGAACGTTTTGTAAGGTCTACTTCAGGTTGCCACTTACCTAGATGATGTCCTGATAATGGCGAAAACTAATAGGGAACATTTAGAGAACTTGGATATGGTCCTAAGGCATTTTTCCAAGACAGGCATCTGCTAAAGAAAGGAAAAAGGTGTGTTCTAGGCCCTCAGGTGACCACCTTGGACTACAGAATTGACAAGACCAGGTTACAACCATTGGAAGATAGAGTAAAAGTGATCAAAGGTGCCCCGACTTCCAAGTCTGTTCAGGAGCTTAGGTAATTTCTTGGGCTGGTAAATTATTATGGAAAGTTCATACATAACTTGGCATCCATCCTGGCATGTTTGCATCAACTCCTAAAATAGGGTCTGCTTTGGAAATGGTCTCATGAAAGCTAGGGCTTGTTTAATGAAGTGAAAAAAAAAAACCAGCTGTCATCCTGAGGTGTTGACACACCACGATCCTAAGAAAGATCTGGTATTGATGTGCGACACCTTCCCAAATGGCACAGGGTTGGTATTAGCTCATAGGCAATCAAATAGAGAGGAATGCCCAATAGCTTATGCACCCAGGACTTTGACTAATGTAGAGCATAAATGCACCCAGAAAGAAAAAGAAGGATTGATGGTCATATTTGGAGTCAGGATGTTCCACCAATTCCTTTTTGGATGGAAATTCTAGGTAACCATTGATCACAGACCCCTAGTTAGTCTGTTTAAAGAGGACAAGGCAGTACTGCCTATAACTTTGGGCTGCATTCAACCTTATAATTCCAGGAGGCCAATTAGCGAATGCGGTTGCATTGAAGTGCCTCCCATTAGCAGCCCACTGGTGGTACTCCCAGTGGATGAGTGTGTAATGATATTAAATTTTCTGGACACACTCCCACTCACAGCTGACAATGTCAGACTTTAGACACAGAAAGGTCCAGTCTTCTCCAAACTCAAATAACTGGTGTTAATGGGGGAACCAAAGGGCCATCACAACTAGAATTTAAATGTTGTTGGACCCAGAGAGACCAGCTAACAGCAGATGAAGGCATATTGTTATGGGGAGCAAAAGTGTTTGTCCAAATCGAATGTTATGGTCAAATATTAGCTGAACTCCTCCAGGGCCATCCAAGGGTCTCCAAAATAAAGATGATGGTGAGGAGTTATGTCTGGTGGTCAGGCTTGGACACAGACACAGCTGTATTGGTGGAGCAGTGCCTCGAGTCTCAACAAGGACAAAAATTACTGCCAGCAACATCCCCTACATCTGTGCAATGGCTAGGTAAACCTTGATCTCAGTTGCACATTGACTACGCGAAAGGTATGTCATTGTAGATGCTCACTCAAGGTGGTTGACCTGCTACTAAAAAGCCCCAGGAGGCTATCCGAGAGAAAGGACCAGCCTACATTCAGAGGGGGAGGGATGTAATGATTGTAACGAGATCAACCAGCTGGACCTCAAAGAATACAAGTTCCCTGATTGGGACTGTTAATCAGGTCCAATCAGACAGCCCTGGCAGACATAAAAAGTTTGAAAGACGGAAATACTGACAGTCTGGCGCCTGACTCTGTATAAGGCAGTTCCGTAGTCAAGGACTGTTCATAGGATGATTTGGTGATGGAATTTCACCCTTGGTTCAGGTAACCTCAAGTATCTACTTGTGCCGTTTTGTTGTTCCCAAATTTATTGGGGTTTGTGGGTGAGTGGTGTAAACATACTGGACCTGCAAAATTTGAAGAAACCCTTTGTTGCAAAGAGAAAGAAGAAATGTGCAAAGTGATCAAACAGATAATTCAGACAGTGCTTTCTGGCTGATGGCTGTAGATTTTTGAACGTACACTTTTGATACATGAATCTCTGGCTGTTGAGGTTCCATGTAGTGTTATACACAGTCAATGATTAGAATTGTGGAACAAAAGCAGAAATTGTAAGAGAAGTTTGGCAGGTCTGGTAGCATCGATGTAAAGATCAGAGATAGCATTTCAAGTGCAATAATCCTTCACCAAAACTTTCTGGACTCGAAACGTTAACTCAGTTTCTCTCCATAGATGCTACCAGACCCGCTTAGTTTCACTAGCACTTTCCTTTTCGTTCCAAATCTCTGACATCTGCAGTTCTTTGTTTCTTTATGGTTTTAGAGCAAAGATACTGGGCAAATTACAGTCAGTGTTTTTTATAGGGGATAAATGTTGCTGATCTAATTTTTTTTTTTCCTTGACTGTTTTCACTTCCTTGCTTGCTTATTCATCTGCCTGTACTTACTGCTGCATGTTGATTGCCTTATTTCACACCCTCTGATCCCACCCTCTAAATGTTATGTCTTTTGCCTTCCTTTTCTAATGCAAAAAGTTTGCTCTTAATCATACTTCTTTCATACCTGATTTTATTGTCCATATTCCTCCATTCTGTCTAGCATTTCTGTTGTTCTTTTTTTTTTGAATTGCGGTTTTTATTGCACATTTGCCTTGCACTTATATCGTGTTAATGTACCCTTCTCATATGTATGCCACTTCTTCCCAATTTAGAGGAGAATTGAATGCCAAAGAAAATGAATTGTTAACAGCAGCAAAGGCATTTGAACAAGAACGACATAATGTACAGCAATTGCAGACCAAGATGGAAAAGGAACAATTCCATTATAAAGAGCACAAAGAGCTAGAACGGCAAAATTATCAGGTAAGTAGGAAGTAAAATTTGAGTTTGTAATGTAGTGACTTTTCAATAATGAATGGAAGGAGGAGCTTCCTTCAATATCATTTCCTTCAATGATGGGGAAACTCAGCACGCCAATACAAACACAAAGCTGAATTGTTTGCAACCATTGTCAATCACTTTTTCCTGTATTTGTTCATGGGGTGCGAGTGTCACTGCTAAAGCAAGCGTATATTTTCCATCTCTAATTGCAGTTGAGAGAAAGGGTGGTGAATCACTATTTTCAATAACTCTTAATACACCCGAGTACTATTAGGAAGTTCAGGTCTTGACCCAAGTGTTGAAGGAATTTGAAACAGTTCCAAGTAGGTTGGGTATATGGCATGGAGAGAATCCTATGAACATGTGCGTGCTGTCTTTGCTTTTCGGTTTGGTAAAGAAAGTGGATGTTGAAGGTGCTGTAACGGAAGCTTTGGTAAGTTGCAGCAGTGAATCTTGCAAATGATGCACAAGACAGCCAGCATTGGAGAATAATTGTTTTAAGGTGGTGGATGGGCACTTCAATCTGCATGATGCTCTCATCATACCTGACACTACTTCAGGATGAGAAGTTGTGAATACAGTACACTACAATACATTATCACAAAAGCATTCGCACTTAGAGCTTAAGAGGGAGGAAAGATCGTTCAGAGGCAATGATGATCTGAGGAACTCCAACACTGACCTGGAACTAAGATGATTACAGCCATAAAGATATCCAGCCCTTTGACCTAACTCTTCCATGCTGACCGGGTATGCTTAATTGAAGTCATCCCATTTGCATGCATTTGGCCCGTATCCCTCTAAACCTTTCCTAAACCTGTCCAAGTGTCTTTTAAATGTTGTAAGTGTATCCACTTCTGCCACTTCCTCTGGCAGCTCATTCCATATACACACCATCCTCTGTGTGGAAAAAGTTGCCCCTCGGGTCCCTTTTAAATCTTTCTCCTCTCACCTATGCTCTCTCGTTTTGGACTCCGCTGCCCTGGGAAAAAGACGTTGGCTATTCACCTTATCTATGCCCCTCATGATTTTTATAAACCTCTGTAAGGTCACCCCTCCGCCTCCTACACACGGGAAAATAAAGTCCCAACGTCTCCTTCAGTCAAAGCAAGCTGCTGTGTCCTGGGCAGTGTCAAGCTTGATGGAAATTGGTAGATCTAACCTGCATCATCAAAAACCTCTCTGAAATGATTATGTGAGGAACTGTCTCGCCTCCAATTCCACACATCCTGCCCAAAATCACCTTTATTTTTTATTCACTCCTGGGACAAGGCCATTGCTAGCTGGTCAGCATTTATTGCCCCCCTCCTTCTGCTCAGTATTTTCACTGCTTTTTTTGGATGGCGTGAGGTTTGTATGTCAATATTACATGCTTTAAAAATAATAATGCGGTTTGCAGTCATCGAGAGACCGAGCCTGATTTAATGTCATGAATTACATTGTCATGAAAGGATGTACTGGCACTGGAGGGGGTGCAAAGAAGGTTCACTAGGTTGATTCCGGAGTTGAGGGGGTTGGCTTATGAGGAGAGACTGAGTAGACTGGGATTATATTCATTGGAATTCAGAAGATTGAGGGGGGATCTTATAGAAACATATAAAATTATGAAGGGAATAGATAAGATAGAAGTAGAGAGGATGTTTCCACTGGCACGTGAAGCTAGGACAAGAGGGCATAGCCTCAAGATTAGAGGGAGCAGATTTAGGACTGAACTGGGAAGGAATTTCTTCACCCAGAGGGTTGTTAATCTATGGAATTCCTTGCCCAGTGAAGTAGTTGACGCTACTTCAGTAAATGTTTTTAAAAAAGGTAGATTTTTTTTTTTGAACAATAAAGGAATTAAGGGATACGGTGAGAATGCGGGTAAGTGGATCTGAGTCCACGAAAGGATCAGCCATGATCTTATTGAATGGTGGAGCAGGCTCGAAGGGCCAGACGGCCTACTCCTGCTCCTAGTTCTTATGTTCTATTACGTTCAAAATAACTCATCATATTCAGATTCTCCTCCACTAACTCCCAATGGTTTCCTTTGTGCTAGGTATGACTCCAGATAATGGACAGTTTCACTCTGATTACTAATTACTTCAGATTTAGAAGAGTTCCTTAATACTACACACTGTCAATATCAAGAGCATTACTTTTGCCTTGCCTCAAAAATTCAACTCTCATTATTTTGATTAAAATTGTAATAAGATCTGGAGCTGCGTAGTCCTGGTGGAACTAAAACTGGCCATCAGTGAACAGGGTATTGGTGGGGCAGTGCAAGCACTGCCAATTGCTCTTTCTCTCACTTTGGTGATGGGGTAATTGGCGAATCTAAAAGTGGTCATAGTTTTTGTGGAAAGGACAAACTAGGTAAATTTTCACATTATCAGTAAAATAACAGCATTGAAGCTTATTTGAACTGCTTAGCTCAAGAGGCGACTGCTTCAAGACCACGGGCCTTCATCACTATAGCAGGGGTGTTGTCCAGTGTGCTTAGCTGTTAGCTCACATTGCATGGAGTGAATTGATTTTGCTAAAGATTGGCATTTCACACACTCGAGAGGAGACCAAGATCAACTGCCATCTTACTCTTCAGACTGGAGATGTTTGCAGATGCTTCAATCTTGTCTTTTGCACTTAAATGCCATTAGTGAAGAATGCTGCTGGCATTGTTTCATTGGACAGTATGCCAGGACTGCAGAACTTGACTGATCCATTGGTTTACATATTGCCTTCATCAATCTTGCCAAAGTATTCAACCATGCGAACAGGGGCAGGTTATTTAAGCTGTTGTCAAAAATTGGCTGCCTTCTGAAGCTGCTCACTGTGATCTCCACTTTCCATGACAACATGATGGCTAGGATCACCTATGAAATAGAAGTAGTCAGCGATTGGAAGTGCAGTAAACAGTCAGGGTAGTAGCAGACTTCAGGAGGATTCAGTTTGTAAAATGGACTGGCTTGTGCAAATAATATTTAATGTCAAATAGGAAATTTGTTATGGAAAAGAAAAGTGAAGATCTGCAAAGAAGGGTTTTGGATAGGGGAACAGCAGATTTTATTTAAATTAGGCAGGATCTGGCCACAATAGTCTAGGACCAAAACCTTATGGGAAAATCTGTAGCAGAAAAGTGGGAATGTTCAAAAATGGAGAGAGTGCAAACCCAATATGTTCCCTTTAGTATGAAATGGAGGAGCAACAAGTCCAGAGAACCCTGGATGTCGAGGAATATTCAGAACTGGATGAGAAGGAAAAAAGAAGCTATTAGTCGGTGCAAGGTAAACAAGTGGGGATGTTTTGGACCACAAATATCACCAGAGTGGAGATGTTTGCAGCCTTAAAGGACATTAAGGTGGTTAAACCCCTACACCTGATCAACTCCATCCTTGGACGTTGTGGGAGACTAGGGAAGAAATTGCAGAGGCCTTTGCAGAGATTTTTGCTTCAACTTTAGCCACTGGTGAAGTTCCTGAAGACTGGAGGGTAGCAAATGTTGTTCTATTGTTTAAGAAAGGTAGCAAAGACAAGCCAGGGAACTACAGGCCAGTGAACCTGATGTCAGTGGTAGGCAAGTTATTGGAGAGGATACTGAGGGACAGGATCAACCATCACATGGATAGTCAAGGTCTGATTAAGGATAGTCTGCATGGATTTGTGCGCGGGAAGTCATGTCTGACAAATCTTTGAGTATTTTTTGAAGAGGTAACCAAGAGGATAGATGAGGGTAGGGCAGTGGATGTTGTCTATATGGACTTTAGTAAGGCTTTTGACAAGGTCCTGCCCAGCAGGCTAGTCATGAAGGTTAGGTCACATGGGACCCAGGGAGAACTAGCTAATTGGACTGAAAATTGTCTCGATGGTAGGAAGCAGAGAGTGATAGTTGAAAGTTGTTTCTCGGACTGGACGCCTGTGACTAGTGGTGTGCCACAGGGGTCTGTGCTGTGATCTTTGTTATTTGTTTATTTATATGAATGTACAAGGCATGATTAATAAGTTTGCGGATTATTCAAAATTGGGAGGTATCTTTGATAACGAGGAAGGTTATCAAAAATTATGGAGGGATCTTGATCAGATGAGGAAGTGGTCTGAGGATTGGCAAATGCAATTCAATGCAGATAAGTGTGAGGTGTTGCACTTTGGAAAATCAAACCAAGGTGGGACTTCTACAGTAAATGGTAAGGTCCTGAGGAGTGTTGCAGAACAGAAGGACCTAAGAGTACAAGTACATAGTTTGTTGAAAGTGGCATTATAGGTGGACAGGGTGGTAAAGAAGGCATTTAGCATGCTCGCCTTTATCAGTCAAGGCCTTGAGTATAGGAGTTGGGATGGTATGCTACAGTTGTATAAGTCATTGGTGAGGCCACACTTGTAGTATTGTATACAGTTTTGGTCACCCTGTTATAGGAAAGACATAGTTAAACTGGAAAGTGTGCAAAGAAGAGTTACAAGGATGTTGCCAGGATTAGTAGGCCTAAGATATAGGGAGAGGTTGGCCAGGATAGGACTTTATTTCTTGGAACGTAGGAGAATGAGGGGTGACCTTATTGAGGTGTATAAAATCATGAAGGGCATTGATAGGGATGAGTGCATACAGTCTTTTTCCCCGGGATGGGGAATTGAAAATAGGGGGCATATGTTTAAGGTGAGAGGGGATAGATTTAAGAAGATCTTAAGGGCCAACTTCTTCACACAGGTGTGTATATGGAATGGACTGCTGAGAAAGTGGTTGAGGCAGGTGCAATAGCAACATTTAAAAAACGTTTGGATAGGTGCATGGATGAGAAGGGTTTAGAGGGATATGGACCAAATGCAGGGAATTGGAACTAGCTGAGTGGGCACCATGGTCAGCCTAGATCAGTTTGGGCTGAAGGGCCTGTTTCCATGCTGTATTCCTCTATGACTCTAAATCAACAGAGGCCCCAGTGGAATGTAGAAAGTGCAGAGGGGAGCTTAAGAAAGCAAATAGGCAAGCAAACAGGACATTTTTTTTATAATAGTAGACAAAATTGGAGACAATCCCAAGATATTCTATAGGTATATGAAAGGGAAGAGGATAACTATGGAAAGAGTCAGGCCCGTTGGGGACCAAGAGGGCAATCTGCCCCTGGAACTGGAGGACATTGGTAGAGTGTTAAATGAGTCCTTCATATCTGTTTTCTCTCGGGAGAAGGAAGATATAGGTACAGAATTCGGGAACGGGGTCCGTGAGTTCTTGAGCAAATTCATACAGAGGATGAGAAGGTAGTTCCACTTTTTCTAGAATGGAAATAGAGATGAACCATGGAAATACGGACATGTGATTCTATCATCAGTGGTAGGGAAACTATTGGAGAAAATTCTGAAGGAGAGAATTAATCTCTGTTTGGAGAGGCAAGGTTTGATCTGGGATGGTCAGCATGGCTTTGTTAGATGGAGGTCATGCTTAACAAATTGTATTGAATTTTTTGAGGTGGTGGTCAGGTGTGTAAGTGAGGATGATGTGGTTTATATGGATTTCAGCAAAGCCTTTACAAGGTCCCCCATGGAAGATTAATAAAGAAGGTAAAAACACATGGGAAACAATAGTTGTGTTGAATTTGGACTTCCAGAAGGCATTCAACAAAGTACCTCATAAAAGATTAAGTCATAATGTCAGAGCCAATGGTGTTGGAGGTAGTATATTGCATGGAGGGAGAATTGGCTTATTAACAGGAAACATCGAGTGGGGATAAGGGTTTTTTCCAGTTTGGTGATCCATGACCAATGGGGTTCCACAGGGATCAGTGCTGGGACCGCAACTGTTTACAATATAAATTAATGACTTAGGAAATGAATGTATTGTAGTCAAATTTGCAGACAACACTAAAATAAGTGGAAAGGCAGGTTGAGAGAGAGGTACAAAAAATTACTGATATTGGGTATTTTAAGTGGGCAAAAAGTTGGCAAATGGAGTATAATGTGGGGAAAAAGTGAAGTTGTTCATTTTGGAATGGAGAACAAAAGAACAGTATTATTTAAATGGAGAAAAACTGCAGAAAGCTGAAACACATGGGTATGTGGGGGTGCTTGTGCACAAAACGCAGCTAGCATAGAGGTATAGCAGATAATTGGGAATTCTAATGGAGTGTTGGCACTTATTTCAATGGGGTTGGAGCGTAAGTGTAGGGAAGTCTTATTGCAACCATACAAGGTGCTTCTGAGACCTATGTGGAGTACTGAGAGCCCTTTGTTCCCCTTAAGAGACAGTTCAGAGAAGGCTCACTCGGACGATCCTTAGTATGGAGGGATTATCTTGTGAGCAAAGGTTAAGGAAGTTGTGACTCCACTCACCGCACTTCAGAAGAATGAGAGCTGGTCTTATTGAAACATATAGAATTCTTAAGGGGCTTGACAGAGTAAGTGCTGAGAGGATGTTTTCCATCATGGGAGAGTCTAGGACCAGAGGGCATCATCACAGAATAAAGGATGTCAATTTAAGACTGAGATGAGGAGGAATTTCTTCTCTGATGGTTGAGAGTCTTTGGAATTCCTTGCCACAGAGAGCTTTGGGGCAGAGTCTTTCTGTACATTTATGGTTGAGATACTTTCTTGGTCAGTAGGGGAATCAAGGGTTATGGGGAAAGGGCAGAAAGGTGGGCATGAGGAATGTCAGATCTGCCATGATCCTATTTGAATGGTGAAATGTGCTCAATGGGCCGAATGGCCTACTCATGTTCCTGTCTCTTACGGTCTTGGCAAGTTGGATCCAAAACTGACTTAGTGACAGGGGGCAGAGGGGGAAATGAGAAACACCAGGGAATTATTTCAAATGCATCTTGTAAGAATACATGTGCTTTTTTTTTGGTTGTTTGGAATGACAATTTGGAGTTCTGTGCAGTTGGTATATGGAATCCCTTTGTAAATAGAGAACTTTGTATAAGATATAAAGAAACATCAGGTCCCTCTGAATGTAAATGCTGAACCTTATGATGATTGAATAAATCCTGACTGTTTAATTTCAGAAACTGCAGAAGGTACTTGAGGAGCAACTTGCACACAACCATCAGTTGTCCGCTGCCTTTGAAGAAGAGCGGGTGGCAAACAGCAACAGCCGCAAAGAACTCGAAGCCAAGTTATTGAACACTGAATCTTTGCTATCGCAGGAACGCAAGAAAGTAGCAGAGACTCAGGACTTGCTACAAATTGAGAGAAGTCACTTATCAGAGACGAGTGATTCCTTGGATCGTGAGCGTGATCGGTCAGAACAGTTGTACCAGCATCTGAATTCCCGACAGAATGAAACTGCTACTCAGGACCGTGCCTTTATAAAAGAGCTGCAGAGTCAACTTGAGGAAGAAAGAAAGAGGACTGTTGAACTTGCCACAATCATTGAGAAAACGCAGCAACAAGCTATTACAGCAAAGCGAAACGCTGAAGATGAATTGCAACTGTCCCGACAGGAAGTTCAGAAAGAACGGGAAGTCAGCTCCAAGCTGAGATCTATGCTTGAATCAGTTCAGACTCAGGTACAGGAGCTCAACCGCTTGCTAGAGTCTGAAAGGCAGCATAGTCTTCGCCTGCAGACTGAACGAGAGAGACTTCAAGCAAACATTCTTGCAGCTAAAGAAAAGGAGCGAAATAAGGATGATCAGCGGGATCGAGAGAGGAGACAGGAGAGGCGAGAGTTAGCTGACCATGAACAAGAATATGAGATGGTGAAAGACAGAATGGTAAACAATAAATTGGTCTGTTTCTAAAGTAAAGTTAAATTGAAATTCAAGTCAAAACTATGAAATATTTTCAATTCTCATGGATGTTTTTAAACAAAGGTTTTAAAGTAACATACATGTATGTGATTGTCTTTAACTTAATGAGACATCCCAAGTTTGGATAGTAGCAACTTATCCAAGAAACGGTGTAGGGGAACTAATAGTAATAACAGGTCATCCAGTTTGACAACACAGGTGGGTAAGGTTTTAGAAACAACAAACGGAAAATAATTAACAGGCATTTGGAAAGGTTTGAGTTAGTTAAGGACAGTCAACATGGCACTAACCCCACCACCTCTGGCACCTTTCCCTGCAACCGCAGGAAGTGCTACACCTGCCCCTACATCTTCCCCTCACCTCCATTCATGGCCCAAAACAAGCCTTCCACATTAGACAGGGATTCACCTGCACATCTGTCAACATGGTCTACTGCGTCCGCTGCTCCCGATGTGGCCTCCTCTATATCGGTGAGACCAAGCAGGGGCTCAGAGACCGTTTTGTAGAGCATCTGCACTCTGTTCGTGACAAACGCCAACACCTGCCGGTCGCGAACCATTTTAACTCCTCCTTCCCCCCACCACCACTCCCTGGATGACATGTCCATCCTGGGCCTCCTCCAGTGTCACAGTGACACCACCCGCAAACTGGAGGAGCAGCACCTCATATTCTGCCTTGGGAGTCTACAGCCCAATGGCCTAAGCGTGGATTTTACCAGTTTCAAAATCTCCCCACCCCTGGCCTCATTCCCATGACCAACCCTTCCTTTCATCCCTGCCTCCTTGACCTGACACAACATGTCCATCTTCTCTTCCACCTATCCACCCCTCCCACCTCACTGACCAATCCCCACCACTCCCTACCTGCACTACCTATCACCTTCCCCAGCCACCTCTCTCTTTATTTCTGAGCTCCCTTCTCCCTCCCCATTTCTGAAGAAGGGTCCCGACCTGAAACGTCAACTTTCCTGCCCCTCTGACACTGCCTAGCCTGCTGTGTTCCTCCAGCTCCACACAGTGTTATCTCTGACTACATCATCTGCATTTCTTACTATCTTTGAAAATGGTATAGTCCTTGACTAATGTCCTTGAACTTTTTGTTGAAGTAACAGATTTTGTGGATTTATGGATTTTAAGAAAAACTTTAATTAATTTCAATTAAGAGCCTAATTAATAAAGCTGAGGCTAATTGGCAGAGCCTGTGTCAGCTTGGATAGAAAGATTGGCTTCCAAACAGAGAGCAGATTTCAGACTGTAGATTGAAAGAATTTGGTGTTTCCCAAGGTTCAGTTCCTGGGCAGTTTTTAAATGTGTTTAATTATTTGGATATTTGAATACATAGTAAAATATTTAAGAATTATTGATTATACCTAACTTGTTTCGACTTGCAGTGATGGTGGTGAAAACTGCCTGGCTTACCAGAATGGGTAAAGTGGCAGACAGAATTTAATAGAGAGCAATGAGTGGTGATCCATTGCCCTGTCTCTTCTGTCAAAATGCAATACAGATAAAATAGTATGGTTGTAACAGCACACAAGACAGTGAGTCCTGCAGTTTTCATATAACTACCTTTGAATATGCAGGAAATGTTGAGAGAATCTCTAGCAAAGTCTATGGGATCTTTGCTTTCAAAAGTAGTGTTATTGAGTGCAGAAGGATGATGTGTGGCTTGGAGGGAAACTTCTAAATGGTAGTGGAGTTTCCATGTATCTGCTGCATATGTTCCAGGTGATACAGCTTACAGGTTTAGAAGCTACAATTAAAGGTGGCATAATAGGTTAGTGCAGTGCATCTTGTAGTATATAGTACCCACTGCTGCTACTGAGCATCAATGCTGAAAGAAGTGAATATTAAGGTGGCAGATGAGGTGCAAATTAAGTGAGTTGCTTTGTCCTAAATCATGTTGAGTTTCTTCAGCGTTCTTGGAACTGTGCTCATTCAGGCAAGTGGGGAGTATTCTGTCACACTTCCAACTTGTCTCTCGTAGATGATGGCCAGAATTCGTCGAGTCAAGAGTTGGATTAGTTGCAGCACATGGAATTCGTAGTGTCTGCCCTAGTGTTGTAGCTGTAATATTTGTATAAATTCGTCAAGGTCTGCATGGAAAAAGGCCCTTTGGTCCATTGAATCTGTGCTGGTCAAAAACCACCTAACTTTTCGAATCCCATTTTCCAGCACTTGGTCCCTAGTCTTATACGTTTCAGCATTGCTAGTGTACATCTAAATACTTCTTAAATGTTATAAGGCTTCTGCCTGTACCACCCTTTAGATGAAAACATTTTCCTCATATCCCCTCTAAACATCCTGTCTCCTACTTTAAATTTATGGCTGTCATGGAACCTCCATCAAGAGGAAAAGTTTCTTCCTGTCTATTCTGTTAATGCCCCAGATAATTGTATATATCTCAAAAAGTACACCCCCTCAGTCTCCTCTGCTCCAAGGGAGATAACTCTAGTCTGTCCATTTCTCTTCATAATTGAAACTCTCCAGGCTAGGCAAAGTCCTGGTAAATCTTCTCTGCACTCTGTCTGGTGCAGTTACATCCCTCCTATAATGTGTATTCCAGAATGGCGCACAATGTTTCTTGTCAAAAAATGGTTCTTGGCCTCCTAGTAGTAGTCAAGATGTGGGGAAGAAAATAAATCAGGACATAACAAAGGCATGTAAGAAAGGCACTGTTACAATAATCATGGAGGATTTCAATATGCAGATAGACTGGGAAAATCAGGTTGCTAGTAGATCACAAGAAAAGGAATTTGTGGAGTGTCTACAAGATAGTTGTTTTATAGCAGTTTGTGGTAGAGCCCATTAGGGAACAGTTAGTTCTGGATTTGGTGTTTAGCAATGAGGCAGACTTGATTAGGGAGCTTAAGGTCAAGGAAGCCCTAGGGGACAGTGATGATAGTATGATCAAATTCACCCTTCCGTTTGAGAGAGAGAAGCTTGAATCAGATGAGTTGGTGGTACAGTTGAATAAATGTAACTCCAAAGACATGACACTAGAGCTGGCCAGAGTTGATTGCAAGTGGAGCCTATCAGGGAAGACGGTGCAGCAACAATGGCAGGAGTTTCTTGGGGTGTTGGGGGGGGAGGATTCAAGAGGCATAGCAGAACTTCATCCCAAGGAAGAAAAAACATACTAAGGGGAGAGTGAGGCAACTATGGCTAATGAGGGAAATCAGAGACAGCATAAAACCAAAAAATAAAGCATACAATGTGGTGAAGATTAGTGGGAAGCTAAAGGATTGGAATCCTTTTAAAAACGAGCAGAGGATAAGTTTTGAAAAAGCAATCAAGGGCAAGAAAACGAAATATGAGAGTAAGCTAACAAGTAATATGAAAAAAAAATTACAAAAGTTTAAGTATCTAAAATGTGAGAGAAAGGCTAGAGTGGATAGTAGACCACTGGAAAATGAGACTGGGGAAGTAGTAATGGGGCACAAAGAAATGGCAGATGAACTGAAAAGGTAAATTGCATCACTCTCCACAGCGGAAGACACGAACAACATACTAGAACTTCAGGAGACATTTGGGTTGGGGGTTGGCAGGGATGCAGAGGTGAATGTAGCAGCCATCATCAAGGAGATGTTGATGGAGCGAAAAGATCTGAAGGTACATAAATTACCCAGATCAAATGGACTACACCCCAGAGTTCTGAAGGAGCTAGCTGAGGAGATTGTAGAGACATTGGTGGTGATCCTTCAGGAATCCCTGGAGTCAGGGATGGGTCCCATTGGAAAATGGCCAATATAACACCCCTGTTTAAGAAGGGTGGGAGGAAGAAGACAGGAAACTATAGGCCAGTTAGCCTGACCTCGGTATGGCATAGATAGAGGATTGGCTCACTGACAGAAGGGAGAGAGTAGGGATAAAGTGATCTTTGTAGTTTGGCAGCTGATGACTAGTGGAGTTCCGCAGGGATCTTTTTGGGACCAGAACAATTCACTTTATACATTAACAATCTGGACAAAGGAACTGAGGGCATTGATACTTCGTTTGCAGATGACACAAGGATAGGTGGAGGGACTAGGTAGTGTTGAAGAAGTGGGGAGGCTGCAGAAAGACTTGGACAGGCTAGGAGAGTGGGCGAAAATGTAACAGATGGAATATAATGTGGGAAAGTGAGAGAGTATACGGTTTGATAGGAAAAATAGAAGCATAGACTATTTTCTAAATGGGGAAGGGCTTTGGAAATCTGAAGCACAAAGAACTTGGGAGTCCTAGTGGAGGATTTTCTTAAGGTTAACGTGCAGCTTCATTTGGCAATTAGGAAGGCAAATGCAATGTTGGCATTCATTTCCAGAGGGCTAGAATACAAGAGCAGAGATGTACTGCTGAGGCTTTATAAGGTTCTGGTCAGACCACATTTGGAATATTGTGAGCAGTTTTGGCCCCCAAATCTAAGGAGGATGTGCTGGTGTTTGAGGGAGTCCAGAGGAGTTTTATAAGATTGATCCCTGGGGATAAAGGTCTTGTCATATGAGGAGATGTTGAGGCCTCTGGGTCTGTACATGATGGAGTTTAGGATGAGGGGTGGATTTCATTGAAACTTACAGAATACTAGAATGGATGTGGAGAAGATGCTTCCACTTGTAAGGGAGACTAAGACCCAAGCGCACTGCCTCAGAAGTCAAGGGACAACCCTCCAGAACAGAGATGAGGAGGAATTTCTTCAGCCAGAGAGTGATTGATCTGTGGAACTCATTGATGCAGAGGGCTTTGGAGGCCAAGTCACTGAGTTAAGAGAGAGAGAGGTTCTTGTTTGATCATCGTTCATAGAATCCTTACAGTGCAGAAAGAGGCCATTTGGCCCATTTGAGTTCTGCAGCAACCCTCCAAAGAGCCTCTCACCCAGACACAGCCCCTACACTATCTCCTGTAACCCTGCATTTATCATGGCCCTGCACATCCCAGACACTACGGGAAATTTAGCATGGTCAATCCACCTAACCTGCATATCTTTGGACTTTGTTAAGGGAATCAAGGGTTGAGGGGAGAAGGCAAAAGAATGGGATTGAGGAATATATCATCCGTGATCGAATGGTGGAGTAGACCTGATGGGCCAAATGGCCTAATACTCCGCCTATGTTTTGTGGTCTTATGGTTAAGTTCAGTTTTTGGTCGGTGGTAACCCCCAAAATGTTAACAATGGTGAATTCAACTTCTAGAAGTCCATTGACTGTCAATGGATCTGTGAGCTGCCTTCACCTTCCTTTGTGATAGGCATGACTCGAACGAGTGAAGATATTCTCCCTGATTCCCATTCGTTCTGGTTTTACTGGGACTCCTCAATGATCAAATACTGCACTGATGTCAAGGACAATCACTCTCACCTCAACAAGGACAATCACTCTCACCTCAACACCTCTTTAGTATTTGTTGGGACTTCTTGGAGCTGAGTGGCCCTGGCAGAAGCCAAATTGAGCGTATGAAAGCAGGTTGTTGCTAGGTAAACACCAGTGGTGGTACTGTCAATGAGCCCTTCCATCCCTTGATTGAGAGTAGGCTGATAAGGCAAAAGTTGGCTGCTTTGAATTTGTCCTACTTTTATAGGCATTATTACATGGACAGTTTTCCACATTCTCCAGTAGATGCCTGGTTTGTAGTTGCATTGGAACAGCTTAGATAGGGGAGCAGCACATTTTGGGACATCAGTCTTAAGTACTAATGCAGAAATGTTGTCAGAGTCCATAGTCTTTCCAGTGTCCAGTGTTTTCACTCATTTCTTGGTATCACTTGGAGTGAATAAAGTTGTTTGAAGATTCACATCTGTGATACTGAGGTCTTGGGAAGAGACTAAGAAGGATCATCCACTTTGTACTTCTGAAAATATATCAACCATTTGTTTGGTGCTGATATGGCAGGCTTGCTCATCATTGGTGGTGGGGACATTAATGGGGTCTCTTCCTCCTGTGAGTTATTTTAATTGTTCACCACCATTCATGGCTGGATGTTCCAGGACTGCAGAGCTTAGATCTGATCCATTGGTTGTAGAATTGCTTAGCTCTATCACTTGCTGCTTACGCTGTTTTAACACGCAGGTCATCCTGTTGTGTAGCTTCACCAAGTTGACATCTAACTTTTAGTAAGCCTGGTACTGCTCCTGGCATCCCGTCCTGCACTGTTCATTTAACTAAGGCTGATTCCCCCAGGCTGGTGGTAACGGTAGAGTAGGGGATCTGCCAGGGCAAGAGGTTGTAGATTGTTGTTAAATACAGTTCTGTTTCTGATGGCCCACAGTGCCTCATGGATTATTTAGTGTAGATCTTTCAAATCCAGACTAGGCATACCATGGTTGTTTCCAGAGCTTGTGTGATGTTGGGTAGGTCTGTTGGGTAGATTCACATTTCTTAGAAAAATGTGACCCCCACACTACTACAACATATCCCTGGGTTCTGGGTTACTAGTTCAGTGTCATTACCACTACCAACTCCCCTCGTTACAAAATGTGCATTTTTAACACCAAGTTTATGTTGGAGAAACTGTTTGTTTTCCCTGGCGTAAAGGAGATTGAGGGGAGAATTGATGAAGAAAAGCTGTTCTCATTTGTTGATGATGTATTTAGGGATGCATGGATTTTTAAGGCTTTGGCCAAAGGATGAAGAAATGATAATGAGAGTATTTTTTTTAATTCACCAAGTAGTGTTAACCTGGTAGTTGACTCCAATAGAGGTGCTGGAAGTGAAGGCAGTGAATTATGTTAAAAGTGTGTATCATTTGTACTTGAGGGAAATAAATTTATGGAACTACAGGTATAGAGTAGGGGAATAGGTTTTTGATTGGTAAGGGGATCAAGAGTTATGGGGCGAAGGCAGGAGAATGGTGTTGAGAAACATATCAGCCATGATTGAATGAATGGTGGAACAGACTTGATGGAATGAATAGCCTAATTCTGCCCCTATATTTTATGGTCTAATGGAATGGGATTGATTTGGATTTGTCTTCAGAAAGCAATCTGTGACATGATGGGCCAAACTCTAAACTGCTGTTGCTCACTTTTCATACTTGTACTTCCATGACTCTTAAACAGCATGAGTTAGAACTGCAGCACCAGCGGGATCATCAACGAATAAGAGAACTGCAAAAGATGCTTGCAGACTTGGAGGAACAAGAACGTAAACTTTCGTCCCGCAAGAGGCAGCAAGCTGAACATGAAAATATTCTGGTGAAATGCAAGCAAAATGGCACTACTCATGGTATGGAAGGCAATGCAGTAAATTTCCAGCAGCTCCCAGAGAATGCACACCAGCAATTTCTACAATTGACTGTTCAGCTTAAACATTTACTTCATGGATCGAAAAATAGGTACGTGTTTACACGTGGAGGAGAGTCTCTCTGTGAGAAGCTATCAAGCTGGAAACTTTGGGTGGATTATAAAACCACCATAAGCTTTGCCTTTATATAAGTTTGTCACTGTGTGAATCATACATGCTGGTTATTTCCTTTCATTCTGGTTTATGAATTTGTCCTTGGTTTGGATTCAAGTTGCTAATCTTGAATGTGTACTTGAGGTAAAACAAAATATCACTGTTGGCTAAAGCATTTGGTGAACAGCAATGAACAACTAGCTCTGTTCAAGACTATGCTACATGCCAGCTAATCTGTGCACTCTTAAGCTTATCAACAGTCATTGGTATATGTATATGCTATCACTATCTACTCACTACTCAAAGATTTTGAATTTCTGCACTAAATAAGTGCCAATAATTGGTGTGCAATTTTTACAAAACACGAGTTAGAATGAAAAGTAGAATCAATCATCTGTGATCATGATGCCAGTTCAGCCATGCTCAGTGGCAACCTATTCTGTTAAAGTTCAACAGTGTTGAAGAGTGAAGTGATTAGTTGTTGAACTAAATTAGCAAAGTATTTCCCTAGACAATAATGACAGCTAATCTGCCGGTATGAAATAAATCTCACTTTCCTGCCTGTGTTTTTCCTATTGCTGGAACTTACTGATTCTAATACTTCTTCTCCAAAGAAGCAATGGTCCCTCATCAGTCACCTTGAATAGCATTGTTCTATTCTCCAACCTTTTGCTGCATAAATAAACTTATCTTTACCTCCCTTCTGTGTTTTAGCAATTGGTTTAAATTGTCATCAGTTCCCTAACCAGTGTATGTCTTTGCCAACCTGCAAACACCACTACAGTAATCCCATTTACTTACACATGGTCCAAAGCCTACTATGCTCTGGCATTTTAAGCATTCATCCAAATGTTTCTTAAATGTGCAAGAGTACTTTCCTCCACTGCCTCCTCGGGCAGCACATTCCACCCCTCTGGGTGAAAAAATGTTTCCTCGGATCTCCTCTAAACCATTTGCTCCTCACCTTAAACCTGACCTCTGTCATTGGTAAGATTTTTGAGTCCGTTATTATGGATGAAACTGCAAATTACTTGGAGGTGCACGATAAAATAGGGCTGAATCAGCATGGCTCATCGAGGGATGGTCATGCTTGCCAAATCTGTTAGAATTCTTTGTCTAACTTGCTTCTTACCTCAAAGGAGAGCCAGTTAACATGATGTATTTGAATTGCCAGAAGGCCTTTAACAAAGTGCCTCACAAGCTGCTAAACAAGATAAGAGCCCATGGTGTTAGGGGCAAAGTAGTGACATGGTTAGAGGATTGGCTGACTGGCAGAAAGCAGAGAGTAAGGATAAAGGGGTCGAAAGGGAGGAAGGCAGTCAGTAACTAGGGGAATTTCGCAGAGTGTTGGTACACAGCTATTTGTTTTATGTTAACGAAGTGACCAAAGGAACTGAAGGCATTGTTGCTAAGTTTGCAAATGATACAAAGGTAGGCAACAGGGCAGGTAGTGTTGAGGAAGCTGGGAGGCTGCAGAAGAATTTGGGCGGGCTAGTAAACAGGCAAGGAAGTGGCAGATGGAATATAGTGTGGGGAAAGTGTGAGGTAGGAAGAATAAAGGCGCAGACTATTTTCTAAATAGGAAAGGCTTCAGAAATCTGAAGCACGAAGGGACTTGGGAGTTCAAGTGCAGGATTCTCTTAAGGTTAACATGCAGGTTCACTTGGCAGTTAGGAAGGCAGAGTGGTGGGCGTGCGGAATGCGCTGTCGGCAGTGGTAGTGGAGTCAGATACTTTACAGACTTTTAAGCGACTCTTGGATAGGCACATGGAGGATAGTAAAATGTAGGGTATGCAGGGTAGTTTGCTCAAAGTAGGATAATAGGTTGGCACAACATCATGTGCCGAAGGGCCTGTACTGTGCTGTACTGTTCTATGTTCTATATTCAATGTCTGCATTCATTTCAAGAGGGCTAGAATACAAGAGCAGAGCTGTGGCTGTATAACTGAATTTGGAAAGTTATAAGCGGTTGTGGACCCCACAATGAAAGAATGATGTGCTGGTGTTGGAAGGGGTCCAGAGGAGAATAATAAGAATGATCCTGGGGATGAAGGGTTTGTCATATGAGGAGCATTTGAGGACTCTGGGTCTGTACTCAATGGAGTTTAGAAGGATGGGGGGATTTCATTGAACTTACAGAATACTGAGAGGCCTGGATAGAGTGGACATGGAAAAGATGTTTCCACTAGTAGGAGAGACAAGGACCCTGGGGCACAGCTTCAGAGTGAAAGGACGACCCTGTAGAACTGAGATGAGGGGGTATTTCTTCAGCCAGAGGGTGGTGAATCTGTGGAACTCATTGCCGCAGAAAGCTGTGAAGGCCAAGTAATGAGTGTATTAAGACAAAGATAAGTTCTTGATTAGTAAGGGGATCAAGGGGCACAGGGAGAAGGTAGGAGAATGGGGTTGAGAAAAATATCAGCCATGGTTGAATGGTGGAGCAGACTTCGCCAAATGGCCTAATTGTGCTCCTGTCTGTTCTTTGACATGTCCCTTAGGAAGAGATCCTCATGATCTGCTCTGTCTCTACCTCATAATTTTGTATACCTCAGTTAGATACCCCCTTCAGCCTCTATTCCAAAGAAATCAAACCCAGCCTATCCAATCTCTCCTCATTACTGAGACTTTTCATTCCAGGCAACATCCTGGTGAATCTCCTCTACACCGTCTTCAGCGCATCATGTCCTTTGAATAGGCGACCAGAGCTGCAGATAATATTGCAACAAGACTTACTTGCTTTTATATTCACCGCCCTGGCTATGAAAGTAAGCATGTTGTGTGCCTTTTTCACCACCCTGTCTATCTGTGCTGACACATTTGGGGATCTATGGACTTATACACCAAGGTCCTTTTGCTCCTTGGTACTCCCTAGGGACCATTCATTGTCAATATCCTTCCCTTACTAGAACTTCCAAAATGCATCACCTCACATGTATCAGGATTAAATTCCATCTGCATTGCTCTGCCCAATTTACCAGAGAACTATCTCCTTTTTCAAGAAGACCAACACTTACGGACCTTGTACAATTATTAATGAATCCGATTAGAGTTTGGGAGAGACATACGTGGTGAAGATAAGGAACCCATTGTCGTGTGGTATAGTTGAGACAAATAATGTAGTTGTATGCGAGGAGAAATTAATTAAACACATCACGAAGAAAGGAACAAAAGTAATGGGATGAGATGAAGAAAGAATGCAAAGAAACTTGTGTAGAGCAATGAACTTGTTGGACCAAATGACCTCTCTAATTTTCAAAGACATGCCAAGAAAAAAAAACTAGTGAAAGGACGACTATAAATCCTTATTATGCTGCACGTGAGCATACAGAGGAACAATTAGGATCAGATTTACTTAACGCAACCGAACCTGTTACAGTCTCTGCAGAGATCAATTACTTAACAGAGATAAATTTGAATATCCAATTTTCTTTTTATTTAGGGAGTTGCTGGCTCAGCCAGTAGTGATTCTGTGTGCTTACTTAGCTTTGAGAAGATAATAGTGAGCCACTGACTTAAACCAGTGTAGTTTTTGGGAAGTAGGGACACCCACAGTGCTGTTAGGAGAGACTTCCAGGATTTTGGCCCAATGGTAGTGAAGGAATGGCACCATAAATCCAAATCAGGATGGTGTGTGATTTGGAGCGGAACTTGTAAGCGATGCTATTTACCTGCATTTGTTGCCCTTGCCCTTCTTGGTGTAGATTCCTCGTCGGCTGAATCAGTGCTCCTTCAACAAAAAACAGGAATTGTTAGAAGAACTCAGCAGGTCTGGCATCATCTGTAGAGAGAAAGCACAGTTAACATTTCCGATCCAGTGACCTTTCTTCAATGCACCTCCATGTTGAACAGCAGTTAGAGAACCCTTGTGGGTTGTGGAATGTACTTTGGGTGGGGGATTTTGATGTCTACCACCAAGCATGGCCTGGCAGCATCGCTACTGACCCAGGTGGCCGAGTCCTAAAGAGCTCTAAATTGCTGCTGTTTGGGTCTACAGTATGTGGTGAGGAAGCCAAGAATGAAAAGCATACATAACCCCATCCTCACCAATCCAGCTGCTGCAGATGCATATGTCCATGACAGTTTTGGTAAGACAACTGCACAGTTTTGGAGGGGATGAAATCCCATCTTCACGTTGAGAATACCCTCGATCATGTTGTGTGACACTATCACTGTGCTGAATGGGATAGACTTCAAACAGATCTAGCAGCTCAGTATAGGAACAAATAACTGCAAATGCTGGAATCTGTACTGAAAGCAACAAACGCTGGAGATAACAGCAGCTCAGGCAGCATCCATGGAGAGACAGCAAGCTAATGTTTTGAGTCTAAATGAGTCATCAGAGCTGAAGTGTGGAGGGAGCAATATTCATGCTGTAGTTGTGGGGTGGGAGGGGTGGGAACGGTGGGTGAGTGCTGAGGTAGAAAAGATGTTGACAGCTCAGATTAAGTGATCGGAATGTGAAAATGGCAGAACAATGGTGTGCTGACTGTCAGATTTGAAAGAACAGACAGTCCCACTGGGTTGGCGGGAGGGGAGAAAGGAAATTGAGACAGAGCATGTAACAAGTTAAGCTAAAAGAAAGGGAAGGAATGGGAGTTGGTTCATAATTTGAAGGTGTTGAATTCTGTATTAAGTCCAGAAGGCTGTAAAGTGCCTAGTCTGAAGATGAGATGTTTTTCTTCCAGTTTGTGCTCTGATTCACTGGAGAACTGCAGCATGCCGAGGACAGACAAGTGGGCATGCTGTGTTAAAATGACCGGCTACGGGAAGGTCAGGGTGATGCTTGCACACAAACTAAAGGTGTTCTGCAAAGCAGTCACCCAGTTTGCATTTGGTTTCTCCGGTGTGTTGGGTGCAGTGAATACAATACACAAGATTGGAGGAGGTACAAGTGAAATGCTGCTTTACCTGGAAAGACTGTTTAGGCCCTTGGATGGTGAGCAGGGAAGAGCTGAAGGGGCAGGTGTTGCACCTTCTACAGTTACTTGGGAAGGTGCTGTGAGAAGGGGGGGTTCGTATTAGTGGTCGGTGAAGGGACTACACTCTTCTGCTGCCTTAACCAATTTATTAAATTGTCCTGATACCTGAAGGGACTGACTGGTGTACATGCACACCAAAATCTCTCTGATCCTGTGTGCTTCTCAGGGTCTTATCGTTCAATTGTATTCTCTTACCTTGTTTATCTTGCCATTTATCCAAATTGAATTACGTTTGCCACTGATCGGCCCATCTGACCAGCCTGTCTTTGTCCTCCTCTAATCTAAGGCTGACTTTCTCACCAATTTTTGTCATATCTGCGATCTTATTGATCAACGCTCTAGCAGGAAACCTAGTTTGATTTTGGGTCCAGTGACCCAAAACGTTAACTTTGATTTTTTTCTTCACAGATGCTACCAGACCTCCTGAGCTTTTCTAGCAAATTTATTTTTGTTGTTAATAGTCACCTTCTGCTAACTGTTTAAACATAATGTGCTCTGCCTTCGTGACAAAGCGTCTGCAGAATCTTTCGGTTAGAAACCAACCTGCAGCCTGGCCTCAAAAATTAACAAAAGCTTATTTAGTCTGTTTTCCTTTAAAATGAGATGTTACCCAAAATCCAAATGTCATCCTTAATTCTCAGTTCCCAATTCACAGCTGCAAACCAAAATTGATAAAAGAATAAAGTAAAAGTAATAAAAAACCTGCCAAGGCCCTAACACTAGGGTTGCCTGAATAGGATATAAATAATTAATCTTATGTCATTATACAATGCCAGGTGTAGTATAGCATGCCACTAAAAACGATCCCTAAAATATTTAATGGACTCTCATCCAGGCTACCTATTGCCTGATTTTCTAGTCTATATGTAGATTAAAATCCCCCATGATTATTATTGTAGCTTTCTGACAAACTCTCTTTTCTATGTCTTGTATGCTGTATGCATTTGCAATCAAAATTATCGTGGCTAAAGTTTAAGAAGTAATGAATTAGTTTTCAGGCAATTTGCAAAAGCCTGTCTAATCAGTAGATCTATGTAAATGGAATATTTTCTGTCTTAAGGAGGTACCACTCTTTGTTTTTTCTTGTTTTACCTCTGTTTCACCTCTGTTTCCTATTCATTCCCACTTTTGCCCCTTTGTTTTCCTTCCTTCCTTCCTTCCTTCTCTGGTTTTACTGAATTATAGATAGTTTAGCAGTGATCTGTTCTACAGGAATGGGGAAGAATAGAGAAACACTTAACGTGTAATAAATTGGGAAAAAAGGCTAATATGCAACTCATGGTTTCTGGAATAAAATGAGGAATTGCTACATAAAATGTAAGCATTTATTTGAAGGCACGCTGATGAAAGAATGTTAACTCCATTCCTCTTCCTAGGGGGCAGGAAGGTCACATCAAACCTGAAGATATAAGAGACCTCTTACAGACCTTGATTGATTCAAACTATGATTCACAGCAGTTCCTCTCCAATATGCAGGTAAGTGAAATAACAACATCCCAAATTGAATGTTGAAATGGGTAGATGTGAACCATCTGAATGGATGTCTTTCATCTTTGCTCTATCTGTCAATGCAAGCCAAAATGTAGCCATTATCTGAGGGGCAAGTCACTAGCTGTAAGTTGACCCAGAAAGCTGTTAGGGAGATTTTGACCTTGTAGCAGTGAAGGAATGGCAGTATGTTTCCAAGTCAGCATCATGAATGTCTTGGAGGGGAACTTGAAGGTGGTGGTGTTCCCATGTATCTGCTGTCCTTGTCCTTCCAAATAGAAGTGACTATTGGTTTTTTAGGTGCTTTCTAAGGATCTTTGAATTTCTGCAGTGTTTCATGTAGATAGTACACACTACTGCTGCTGAGCCTCAATGATAGTGAAAGTGCATCCTTGTGGATGCACTGCCAATCAAGAGGGCTGCTTTGTCCTAGATAGCTTCAAGCTTCTTGAGTGTTGTTGGAGCTGCACTCATCCAAGCAAGTATTCCATAACACTCCTGACTTGTGCCTTTGTAGATGGTGGATAGGCTTTGGGGAGTGAGGTGAATTACTCACTGAAGTATTCCTAGCCTCTGATCTGCCACTGTGCTTATGTGGCAAGTCCAGTTGAGTTGATTTTCTAACTTGTAATTAGGCTGCTGAATTTCTTGCATCAGCTCCACTCATTTATAGCTCAGCTATGCTGTGATTTAGTACCTCAGTGCTCCAAATAAAGAATGAAACATGAAGTGCTGTAATGTGACTTTTAGTGGTAAAATGCAAATCAGGTTCAATTTCTTTTTGACAAAGTATCATTTAAAATGCTTTCCATGATGGCCAGAAATTGCAGCATAATTCATTTCAGAACAGTCACTTGCCAGCTTTGTCTTTAACCTTACTATGTGATCTTGTATTCTAGGAGAAATCAATTGACCACCCAGATGTAGTTCTACATATTGAAAGGGCGAATTGGATGAAGGAGAAAAACCGGTTACAGAATTGCTTAAAAGACGCTGAAACGGAATTAGCTAGAGTAATGGCAGAGATTGAAAATCGACCTCTGCGGCAGGACCTGGTTGACCTCTCTAGCATGAAGGTGAGCACCATGGAGATTTGACTTGCACGTCTGTAAAGCAACCAAATTTATTTCTAGTTTTTTGGAAAATCTAAAGTAGAAACATATTCATATCACTTGTTACAGTTCCAATTTATACGGTGAAATTCAAGGTACCAGTTTCTTTGTTTGAAGAAAATTGCTGTTTTGCCAGTTCTAGTTCCAAGGGTTTGTTAATAAACCCAAACTTGCCTTTTCTATGGGCAGGGAGGCTGAGGACTATAATTCTTGGCATGTGCTGATAGTCCTGGTGCACGCACACAATAGGATGGACTACACTTGCCGACTCTGGCATTCCTGATTAAAAACCTAAAGAACTGCGGGTGCTATAAATCAGAAACAAAAACAGAAGTTGCTGGAAAAGCTCAGCAGGTCTGGCAGTATCTGTGAAGAAAAATCAGTTAACGTTTTGGGTCTGGTGACCCTTCCTTAGAACTTTCCAGCAACTTCTATTTTCGTTCGTGGCATTCCTGTTGCTGCTCAGCATATGCAGAGATTGGCAGGGCTTGACCATCCTCGAGTGTTGTAACTATGTGGTAGTCGTGGCATGAGAACAGATCAAAGCAGCCATGGCATCAAGAAATGGCAAGAATAGAGACTATATGGTGGTGATAAGTGGAGAAGGGTCTCCATATTGAATAATAGCTGCTATAGCAGACTCTGAACAGTTGGGACTGATGGAAGCTCTGGAGGCTATTTAAGAGTTTGGGTTAGGCCTTAGAATATCTCTGAGAACACTCAAAGCAGTTGGAGCCTGTGAAGAAGCCCTAGGAAACATTAATTGTTCAGTGCAGTGGAGAGTTAGGGTGAAGTAAACCCACAAGTAGTGTTTGATTTGTGCAGTTGATACGTATTTGGAGCTTGAGGACAGCTCAGGAGGTCAGATTAACAAAGCTAGCAATCTGTAAAAGAACTGGAATTGTGCCTGTGAGTCGATGCTGGAGTGCAGACTCTGGAATCCAGTGAAATGCAATCTCAGTGGAAGAAATTGAGCTATCAGGATATGAGCTGTTGTTGAGGCAGTCCATGGTGGAATGGCATCTGAGGGGTCTTTGAAGTTAGATGTTTGAAAGCGAAGAGTTGAAATCCCTTGTAAAGGAGACAATGTTGTAACGAGAACCGAAAGAACTGCAGGTGCTGGAAATCAGAAACAAAAACAGAAATTGCTCAATAAGCTCGGCAGGTCTGGCAACAACTGTGAAGAGAAATCAGAGCTAACACTTCAGGTCCAGTGACCCTTGATCAGGATTCTGAGGATTTTTTAGTTTGTCTTTTTAAAACCTTGAGGTTTTATTCTCTTTGTGAGTACCTGAGATCTTAAATTTTGTTTTCTTTAAACAAAAAGAAGTTACTGGTCCCTGGCCAGACTGGAATATAAATTTGGTGGTCCCATCAGGAATTTTAAACAGTATTAAAGTCATTGTGGAGAAAATTTGCTTTGTTCTCAGTGGATGGAACTAAGAATTCATTGTACGCAGTCACATGATTTGTCCCATGAATGACAACTATCTATATGCTGCTCATCTCAACACTGTCTGATGTCAGCTGACGTTAATATTTCAATCATTAGTCCTCATTTAGAGCTGCAGAGTTGGTTACCTGAGCCACTGTGTTGAGAAGTTCTTCCTTTTTTCTATAGGACTATACCCTGCATCATCTTGACTCCATGCTTTGGAATTACCTTGCTAAATCTTTCTGCCCTTCTACTGTCTCACTTCAATTATCACTGTCCTTTAAAACCATCTTTATTACAAATTATTTGGATACTAATATAGATATTGGATACTAATTTTCTTAGCTTTGTAAGTTCAAATTTGCAAGGTGTAATTACCAGTGCTCGCTACTAAATTTTGCTACTTGTTACATGCAGATGCAGAGGCTTTATGGCAAATACCTACGAGCTGAAAGCTTCAGGAAGGCCTTGGTATATCAGAAGAAATACCTATTGCTGCTTCTGGGGGGATTCCAGGAATGCGAACAGGCAACCTTGTGTCTAATTGCCCGTATGGGAGTGTACCCTTCTCCCACAGACATTCACATGCCCACGTGGCGTCCATTAACAAAGTTCCGCTCAACAGTTAGAGTGGTCATTGCAATATCCAGGTACGAGCTGTTCATTCAAATTGACGACAAAGCTCTTTTCATTTTGGCTGCGGGCGTTTTCTTTTAAATGGCAATCTATTTCCCCAAATGATATTTTGCTTCCATGCCTACTAACCTGCTGACGATTAAACTAATCCTCCCCAAACATTTTGCAGATCCATCTATACCTTTTAAAACTACTGACATCACCTCTGTCCTCAAAATAAACCATTTAGCCTTGAAAACCTTGTCCTTGTCCTTGAAAACCACTGCTGCATGTCCAAAGTGAAGTTTTAATTGTGTTTTTTTTATGAACTAGGCTCACGCTTCCTGCAATTCCTCCTATGAATCCCTCAAATCACTTTTTCATTCCTATCTGACTACCCAAATTAGAGTCACAGCAAAATCCAGGGTAACCGTTATCATGGTATATTATCCCTCCTTGATTCTTAACAATCACTGACATAGCTGATTTCACAATCCTTCTACAATTTACCTTCGATGTTGCCCAGCTCAGTAGAACTGCCCTCACTTCCCGTGATTATTGGATCATGGGTGGGGCAGATCCAACAATGGGTTCCATTCCTGCTCTACATTTTGTTACCTCTGGAGTTCTGCTGTTATCTGCCTTTGGCCCCCTCTTCTGCATTTAACATGCTGACCCTTTGTCACACTGTTTGCAAACATGAAGTCAGTTTTCACATATACACAGATCATATAAATTCTGCCTTTCCACCTCTGCGGTTGCATAACACTGAACGTAACCAGTCTACTTGTCTGAAATCCAGTCATGAATAAGTTACATTTATGTCCAGCTACGAACTCCATACATTAGTTATGTATTCCATTTCTTTGCCCAGTCACTACTTCAGGACAAACTAGAAGTTCATAACTCTGGTGTATTATTCAACTCAGAAGCAGACTTTCTGTGCCTCAAAGACCTAGTCATAAGTCACTTCTTTCTCCACCATTCCTTAACCCATCTGCTGTTAAAATACTTGAGTCTACAAGCTTCATTCTACGCCACATCAAGCCTGATTTGTCCATTTTCATTGTCCTGAAACATCAAAATAGTTTGCTGCATTCCCTGTACCTCAGATTTAAAATTCTTATTTTTAAGCTTAACTCTCGAACTCTGCAGTCTTCAGCAGCCAAATGACATGCCCAATTCAGAAACTTGCATGTTTATATGCCAGCAACACATACATCCCTTTTACTTTTGTAGTATCATTGAGGACTATACCCTGCATCATTTTGACTTCATGCTTTGGAATTACCTCCCTAAATCTTTCTGCCCTTCTATTTGTCTCACTTCACTTATCACTGTCCTTTAAAACCAATTTTATGACAAATTATTTGGATATCACACTAAATAATCCCTTATTTAAATATTTTCCATTTTTTGATTACACCTATGTGAAGTACCTTAGAATAGCTTTCTACATTAATGGTCCACGTATATATAAAAGCTTTACTTTATTGTAAAAACATTTCATATCTTAAATACAGCCAAGTGAAATTGGCAATTTCGAGATTATTCTAAGTATCAAGCTTCAGTGTGCCTGTGCCATTTTTGCTATGGTGACTGATATTTATTTACTTGTCTTATGATTGGTGTTTGAGCATAGTTTGAACATTTCCCTGGCTATGGAGGTACAAATGACTCACTAGTCAAGAATAGGTGAATAAGAAAGTAGGAACCTAATACCTTTTCCATGGTCTGGGTTTTATGTGGATTGAACTAGCAATGTGTTAACATTTGTAAGTGAGGTTTGTTGTAACCTAGTTTTATATTCCACTCTGCACTTCAGGCTGAAATTCCTCGTGAAGAAATGGCAGAAAGCAACAAGGAAAGGGCTATACCCTGCCTCCCTAGCAAACAATAATGGAGGTGGCCAAGGTGTGTTTTCTTTTCTCCAAACTGTGAGACTTAATGATGTTTGGGTGGATGAAGTATCATCGTATGTGTTCTTGATGTACATTTGTGTATATAGGGAGGAACTTGATTTTCATAAAATTATTCAATGATATTAAGTAAGGAAGAAAAAACCTGTTTAAAGGCAGACTGCAGATGCTGGAGCTCTGAAACCAACAGAATGCAGCAGAAAGTCTAGCAGCATCTGTGAAAAGAAAACAGAGTTAATATTTCGAGTCTGATGCGACTTCTTCAGAATCCTGTTTACCTAATATATTTGCTATTTAACATACAAGATGATATTTTATCAAGTTTCCATTTATTTAGCTTGCGGAAGTGAAATGTTTTTCACACAAGACCAAAGGGAGAAAGAGCTCACCAAACAATATTTGTTTATTTTTAATGCACTTCCAGCCACTTACAAATAGTGGTTACGGTATTCCTTTCAAAACATTATAGGTTCATATGACATTGATTCATATTATGGCATATATTTGAGTGTCTGTGTTCAGTGTATAAGTAAATTATACTTTCTCCACAAGGTAATTCTTCAAGGCTGCATGGTAGCTTAGAATCAAGCGTGACTAAGAACAGTAAAGCCTTCAATGTACTGTTTCCTTGAAAGAGCTAACCAATTAAACACTCAGTCATTCTGTTCTTTCCCCAGAGTCCTGCAAGCTTTCCCCTTCAAGTGGGTGGGGAACTGGGGTTCATGTGCATAAGAGGTTACCAGACATTTTGAGAGAACAGTCAGCAAACCATATGAGATCTCTAGGACATGAGGGCCCTGGAAAAGGTTGCAGATTTACCAGAATGATTCCAGGCATTAGGGCACTTAGTTGCAAAGTTAGGTTGAAAGATCTGCAGTGATGGAACAATGGAGATTGAAAAGAGATTTGATGGAGATATACAATATTATGATTCATGAATCCTACCAGGACTAAGAATATACAGATTTGAGCTCCTATGCACTGATTTTCTGGAGCCAGGAAAGAAGTTTAAAAAGTAGGATGTCAAATCTCTGGATTATTTCCAGTGCAATATGTGGCTAAAGGCATGCTGCAGAATAGAGGGTTTCAGATTCATTACTTTGGGACTAGTTCTGGAGCAGGGCGCATCTACCCAAACCTTGAGGATTGGGAGCAATTTAGAATCCAGCAAAGAACGATAAAGAAACAGATGATGAAGAAGGGGAAAAGAGAATGTGGGTGCAACCTAGTAGAAAAACAAAGATGAATATTGTCAAGGTTTGTGAAAAGAAAAAGATTACTTAGGACAATTGTAGGCCCAATACAGGAGATTTTATAGTGGAGAACAGGGAATTGAACCTAAGAAACTGCTTTATGCCTGTTTTCATGGAAGATTACATAGAAAAGCCCCCAGAAGTATTGAATAACCACAGGATTTGTGAATCTGAGGAACTGATGGAAATAGTATTAATAAAAAGGTCGTATTTGCAAATTTTACTGGATGGAAGAAATTTTTTTTAAATCCTCTAGACCAGATGAGCTTCATCCCACAGTGTTGAAGGTGCTAACTGTAGAGATAGTGAATGCATTGTAGTTATCTTTCATAATTCTACAGAATTAGAGTGTAGCAAATATAACCCCTCAATGTAAATAAAAAAAGAGGAGAGAATGGAGAATACAGACATGTTAGTTTGACAGCAGTATTAGGTGTTGGAATCTATTATCAAGGATGTGGAAACTGGGCACTTAGAAAATAAACGTAACACTGGAAAGAGTCAACATGGGTTTATGAAAGAGATAACACGATGAGAGTCTTTTTGGGAATGTTATTTGCAGTGTAGATAAAGGAGAAACAGTGAATGCGATGTATTTTTGATTTTCAGAAAGCTTTCAATGAGATCCTCCAAAGAAGTCCAGCAAAACAAAATCATAGAGCATGTGGGATTAGAGGTCATACACTAGGATGGGTTGAGAATTGGTTCTCAGACAGAAAGCAGAGAGTGGGAATAAACAGATCATTCTCAGGACAGAAGGTTATTACCATTGGGGTACTGCAAAGATCAGTGATAGAGCCACAACTGTTCACAATCTGCTTTAGATGTGGGTGCTAGCTTAGTATTGCCAAATCTGCACTTGACACAAAACTAAGTGGGAATGCAAGATGTGAGGAAAGTGAAACAAGACTGCATGCAGATTAGTGAATGGGCAAGAACATGGCAGATGCAATATCATGTGAATAACTGTTACATTATTCACTTTGGGAGGAAAACAGAAATGCGGACTATTTCTTAAATGGTTAGAAGTTGCAAAATGTTGATGTCCAAAAGGACTCGAATGTCATAGAGTCCTACACTCAACCCAAGATTTCCTCAATTCCCTCAAGAACATAAAAATCAGCGTTGACGAGATTATGGTATACTTTGATGTCACAGCTTTATTCACATCCATCGACATCCCACTAGCCAAAGAAACAGTGGCCACATTACTAGAGGAAGCAGCAACGCAGACCAGTAGCTCATGAGCAATGACAACAAACTTAAACTACCAGACCTCTGCCTCACCACGCCCTTCGTCTTTAATGGTCAAGTATACAAATAGATCACGGTACACTAATGGGGTCACCCATCTCGGGACTCATTGCAGAAGCAGTCATGCAAACCCTAGAACACATCATCCTCTCCTGCATTCAACCTAAACTGTTGATCCGGTACGTAGACGACACATTTGTCATTATTAAATGCAACAAATTAGAGGAGACCCACCACCTCATCAACAGCATATTCGCAGGGATTAAATTCACAAGAGAAGAAGACAACAACAATCCACTTCCATTTCTGGATGTTAAAGTTGAGTGTATGACCAACGTGGAGTTCCAAACCTCAGTATACAGAAAAGCAACCCACACTGATCAAATCCTCAACTTCTAGAGCAAACCACCCCACGTCCACAAACAAAGCTGCATTGGGGCACTATTTAAATGGACCTGTACACGCTGCAACACTCCGGAATTACACAAGAAAGAGGAAGAGCACCTACAGAAAATCTTTGCTATAAACGGATAGCCCCACAGCTTCATCTGCAGATGCCTACTAAACAGACAACAACAGGAAGACACAGTATGCCCTTACACACTGGCCACACTGCCCTATATCAAGAACATATCGGAACTGACAACAAGACTCCTATGACCACTAGGAATCATGGTAGCCCACAGCCACTCTACGACAAATACTTACAAGGATTAAAGACCCCATTCCCACAACTTGCAGAACTAACATGGTTTACAAAATACCATGCAACAACTTCCACAAACATTACATCGGACAGACAGGAAGGAAACCAGCCATCAGAATACATGAACGTCAACTAGCAGCAAAACGGCACGCAAACTCTCCTTGTTGTCGGTACACTCAGACAATGAAGGCCATCAGTTTAACTGGGACAAGGTAACCATAGTAGCCCAATCCAAACATAGATACGCATGGGAATTCCTAGAAGCATGGTTTTCCACCCGTAATGCAATCAACAAACATAGAATTGGACCCCATATACAAATCCATACAGATCAAAACCGGAAATGACGGTACTCGCCATAATGGACCAGACAGTATATATTTCAAGCGGAGTAGAATAACATAGCTCCATCAGAGGCTCCACTGATGATGTCACTTAGCACGGCGATGCAACATCTCAACGAGAACAAGCCAGCTCGGTGAGCGAGTCAATAACCTCAGTCCTATAACACAGAAACAGATCCTTTGATCCAACCAGGCCATGCTGACCCAAACTAAACAAATCCCACTTACCTGTACTTGGCTCATAACTTCCAAACATTTCTTACTTATGTACTTATCCAAATGTCTTTTAAACGTTGTAACTGTACCCACATCCACCACTTCCTGTGGAAGTTCATTGCACGTATGAACTACGGTGTTAAACAAAAGTTGCCCCTCGTGCCTTTTTTAAATCTTTCTCCTTTCACCTTAAAAATATGGCCCCTAGTCTTGAAATCCCCAGCCCTGGGGAAAAGACACCTGCCATTCACCTTATCTATACCCCTTTTGTATACCTCTATAAGGTATATAAAATTCAACCTTCTACATTCCAATGGAAAAGATCCCAGCCTATCCAGCCTCTTCTCCTAATTCAGACCCTCATTCCCAGCAACATCCTGGTAAATCTTTTCTGAAAAGCTGGCATGCAGGTGGAGCAAACAATTAGCAAGGCAAATGGTGTGTTGGCCTTTTAATATACTTTTCCAATTCAGTATACTCAACCTGCTACTCATACCTTCATAGATTATATTGTTGAGATTTAAAATCCTAGTTTCAGAATGAACTATATCACATTCAAACTTAATGTGAAATTCTATATTATGTCTAATATTTCACAAAGGCTCTTGTACGGCAAGGATATTAATTAACTTTGTCTTAACACACGACACTATATCTGAACTGCTTTAGAAAACCATCTTTTGTGCACTCTGGAAATTCATTCTGTATAGTGTTAGTGTTGATTATATTTACCAAGTCCATATGTAAATTAATGTCTATTGCATTACGTACATCAAATACATGCCTAATCTGTTGCTTTATGCCATTGCCAACAATACTACTGTTTGGTGCCCTGTAAATAACTACCACCAATCTTTGCATCCCCTTGCTGTTTCTTAGCTTCATCCAAACAGATTCCTCAAGGGCAAAGTCAATTAATGCACTAGAAATAGAAACAATAGAGCATTCATAGAAACACATATAAACATAGAAGATAGGAGCAGGAGTAGGCCATTCAATCCCTTGAGCCTTCTCTCCATATCCTTTAATCCTTTTAGCCACAAGAGCTGTATCTACCACATCCTTGAAAACACAATGTTTTGGCTTCAACGATTTTCTGTGTTAGTGATTCCACAAACTCTCCATTTCCTGAGTGAAGAAATTTCTCCTCATCTCAGCCCTAAAAGGTTACTCGTTATCCTTAAACTATGACCCCATGCTCTGGAATAACTCCTCAACCTTC